ATGATTGCCTGATTGGTTCCTACTGCGAATCGGTCGTCCTTTCAGTACTTCCCCCTAGGGGGCGCTGAGATGTCACAACCCGGGATTCGGTCTTGTCATGAAGCACTCCCAAGGCAAGTTGCTGTTCTTGCTCTTGTTTCTTCCCAGGAAGATGAAATGGAAAGAGAGCAAAAGCAAATGATAAAGGAGGCTTTTGCCGGGGATGATGTCATCAAGGAGTTCCTAAAAGAGAAGAGGGAAGCTATCCAGGCCAGTAAGCCAAAGGACATGGACCTGACCTTGCCTGGCTGGGGAGAGTGGGGCGGGATGGACCTGAAGCCCAGTGCCAAGAAAAGACGCCGGTAAGAGAATGGAAAAGACTATCAGAAGAGCACAGTTTCCCCAGCCCACCCTGAAGTGTGTGCCCCACACTTCTGTCTAAGTCCTGAATACTCCTTTTACTATTTAGCTTTCCAGGTTTCTTATTAAAGCCCCTGAAGGTCCTCCGAGAAAAGATAAGAATTTGCCCAATGTGATTATCAGTGAGAAGGGCAACATCCAAGCTGAAGCTCACCAGGTAGGTTCAGAGCACTCTCTACTTGTCTGATTCCCACTACCTGCTTCTCATGCTTCAGAGAACTACTGTAGTAATCGGTGGGATACCGGAGAGGGATTGTGATGTTTTCCCTTTTGTGGTTTGTTTACTATTTTATGCTTTTGAGACAGCTTATGCCAGGCTGGCCTTGGACTCCAAATCCCACGAGATGGGTGTGACCCACACCTTTAATCCCTAATCTCATCACTCCTTAAATCTTGTGAGGGGATACCTGCCTGGGATGTGTGATGATGACCAACAGATCAAATTTGTCTTTTCCACTGACTGGCTGTGAGAATAGCATCACCAGACAGGCTGTTCCAACTACCTACAAGGTTCTGTCTGAAAAGAGAATCTGCAAGCAGGAAAAGAGCCCCCAAGTCACATTTTCAACTGGTACCCCGGATCATTCTGCTCCAAATGAGTCTTGCCAAAGTAAAACTTAACCATTCTGCTGTAGGCTTGTATTTGTAGTCAAGGTAACAAAGACCAAAAGACTTGAGCCACATGTTAAGGAAAGTGGTGATGAACCAGTATCTGTCCACAAAAGAAAAGGGGTTTTAGGTTGAATCATTTGCTAATAAACTACCTACTCTTCTATTTTTGTTGCTGGAGATTAAGCCCAAGACACATAGCACATACACTCTACCATTTGGCTGCTTATTTAGGTCTCCAAATATTTCTTGATATTCAAAGAAAGCAAAGTTCTCAGAGCTGAAAAACCCAGCTTGATGTCCATAGAGCTGTGTACTTCTTGGATACCCTGTATTTTGAATTAATGGTGAAGAATGGACATTGTGCAAGACAGAAAAGGAACAGAGATTTATGGCTGCAGCCAGATGTAACATAAGTATAAAGTTATAATAAACCCTCACTAACATGTTATGACAAAATAGTTCTAAAATGATACTCAGGCAAGCAACCTGAGCTGGCACGCTCTTACATGCAGAAAAACAGGTCATTTGATTCAAGGCTACAGGTCCACTTCAACATCAACCTGATAAAGAGCAAGATGCAACTTCTGTTTAAACATGCTTTTCCAGTCATGACACTAATCCAGAATGTGCCACTCCACAAGCAACTTGTGGTTCGGCAGCAGGGAAATGAGGCTGATGGCTTTCACCAGGTATAAACAGAAGCAGAGACTAGGGCTGGAATTGGGCTGGGATGAAGCTCTCAAGGTCAACCCTGAGTAATCCACTTCTTTCAAACATCCCTGACCTCTCAAAGTTTCTGCACTTTCCCAATATGGTGTCAGGGCCTGGAGGCCAGTGTTCTAACATACGAGACACTTTACATTCAAACCATAGAAACATGGAAAGGAGCTTTTTACCTGAAATACCTAATAATAAGTCTGGGGAAAATTCCCCATTTCTGAAATGGCATACTGATTGAATTTAACTTTCCTGTGACTGAATTCCAATTCCTACAGTCTTTTTTGTCATAGAGAGTTTGAGAATTTGTTAAAAGTTATTAACTCCTCAAAGGAAAACGTACAAACATTCCCGGTTCCACATCTAATTTTAGCTTCAGATACCCTTGGAATTCCTGGACTTGCCACTCCTATAGTGTCTCCCAGTCCCACATGCCCAGAACATATGGAAACTTTTCTCAAACAACCCCACCAAGTCTGTTTCTAAGGGCTTAGACTGCAAAGTAGTGGTGCCTTATGGGTATTTGGGATTTTTGTTTGTTTGTTCGTTTTTTGTTTTTCCATTTTATAAATTTTTATTTAAATTAGAAACAATCTTATTTTATGTATCAACCCCAGTTCCCTCTCCCTCCCATCCTCCTATGCCTCCCACCAACCCCTCCATCCCATCCCCCATCCACTCCCCAGGGAGGGTGAGGCCTTTATGAGGGTGGAACCAAGTCTGTCAAGGCATTTGAGGCAGGGCTTAGGCCCTCTCCTGTCTATCTAGGCTCAGAGAGTATCCCTCCATGGGGAATAAACAAAGATTTCAAACCGTGCTGATATATCCATCATTCCAAAATAAAGCTGGGAGTAATACCTACTTATCTATTCTTCTGTATAAAATAAAGGCCTTATAGTTCATTAATCTTTGAACAATCCAAATAATTTGGTACTTTCATTATGTCTATTTTATCAGCCCATAAGTAGATGCAAGGAAGCAAATGTGAGCCTTGAAACCCAATCTTTATATGTGAATACATGTATTCTATGTTGTTTAAGAAAGATTAACCTAACTTCTTTAAATGTCAGTTTCATTGATTCATCAGAAATTACAGGCTACACTCTTTTAAGCAACAACAGATTTTTAGTGAAGCTTTTTTGACCTCATTTAGAGTGGTGCCGTTAAGACAGGTTATGGAAAGCCTGTAAGCTCTTCAATTCATACACAATGGAAACTTACATGGTTATTTTTTATTTACTAATTATGATACTAAAACAATGCATTTTTGTTAAACTTGTAATCCCACTTCATAAAATTTGCTGAAATATTTCTGTTTTTTCCCACTTGAATACATAGTGTCTCATTTATTTTTAATTTCCAAGACTGTTCAGTCAAATATAGTAGCAATTAGCTCAATAAGGAGAGAAAACAATGTATACTCTACAGTATGTTTTGTTGCTAAGGTGTGATGTTTAGTTGATGTATTTACAAAAATAGTATGGATTTATCAAAATAAAAGTGTAAATATAAAATGTGACACTTGTTGTCTATGCTAGAATAAAAATGTAAAGTATGTGACAAACTCTAACAGAACATTATTATTTCTAAATCATTAATAATCAAGGAAGTTTTTATGTGTCTGTTTTGTGTGTGCATTTGTGTTTGTGATGTCTCATGCATGTGTCTTTGTGTATGAGTGGCATATATATGCACGTTCATGTGTATGGGAAAATGTGTTCAGGTGTAGGTACACGAGTGTGTTCATATTAGAAGACCAAGATAGACACAGATGCCTTGCTCAACTGCTTCTGTACTTTACTTTTTGAGACAAGGTGTCCAATTGAAATTGGAGCTTTACAGAAGTCCCTAACTTGACTGGCCAGAACGGAAGAAATCTCTAGTCTCTGCTACCCCTTTGCTGGTATTACACACTCATACCACCATGCTCATTTCCTTGTGCTTATCTATCAAACACTTTGCTGACTTAGCCATCTCTCATTCCCACATCATTTTAACTGTTAAATGCATGCTTTATTATCCTATTATTTTAACATATAAAGTATTTTCCATGAAAAAATGATTTCAATAAATTGCTCATGATTTCTGATATTAGTTTGACAGTGATATATCTTATTAAGTATGAATACAACTATTCATACATTAAATAAAACACCTCCCATAATGCCTTAAAATGCATGTTTAGGGAATGATTCCATTATAAGTCAAGAGATAATTTTTACGTGGGAAGGGGCATATACACTTGCCTACATGGTCATATGTATTTGTATGCACATTCATACATATGGATATATGATTTATGATATCGACTTGTAGAAGCTGAGAAATCCAATAGTCTACAGTCTGACACCTGGAACTGATAGTATATGCAGATAGGAGATTTTAAATATGCGTGTACCATATAAAGGCATACATATGGATGTGCGTGTGTTTATATGCATTACAAATATACATATGGAGGAATTTTTTCCTCTAAGGAAGTTAAATCACAAAATTATGGCTACTGAAATGTGTTATGTTTATTTTACTTTGTTTTTTTTAAATGAAAGTCCAGGAAAGTCAATGATGTATTTACAATCTATATCTGAAGATCTGAGGAGCAGATCATATTGACTCATGGCAAAATCAAGATACAGGGACAAGTGATACTGCAGTTTAATATTCAGGACAGGAAAATTATTAAGGCCCCAGATCAAATACATTAAAACAGGGGGAATTTGATCTTATTTAAGCAAGGGACAAGCTTACTGCTCTAGTCACACCCAGAACAAATTGGATAAATTACATTCTCACCAACAGTGGGCTCTATGTCCTTTGCATACTGTTTAAAATGTTAATATCAGGAAATGATAAACTCAAATGTACACCTGGGATAATTTTTGAGTACAGATTTGATTACCTCATGGTCTAGTAAAGTTGGGGTTTTACATAAACATTGAAAACGTGCTTTGCAATTGCTGCCTAGAAGCATCTTTACAAACCATGTTTTATCTTCAAAGAAAACAAGAAAATAACTATTCCACTTAAAATATAAAATTATTTTAGGTACAAGGAATTATGTATAATTCTCCCTGAGGATATGTATTAAAATCATTGGCTAAAATTTATTCATTACTTGGAATCCAGTTATATACAAACTATGAGGTAAAATTAAGAATATAAGCACTAGAAACCTTTTTCTGTGGGGAAGAGCACGAGTGGCTGTTCTAGATGGATGACCTTCACTCCTCAAAATCTGATAGTGCTGTGCTACCATCTGCCACCACAGTCCCACGAACTCTGATGCCTTCTTCTGGCCTGGTGGTATATAGAGAAACATGCAAATAAAACCCATACACATAAGAAAAATAAAACTAGTTTTCAAATAACAGCACATATTCTTCAAAGTAAATGTTGTACATCCATTATGTCGTCTATAACACATCAACTGGATTTAAAAAGAAAATAAATATATACACAGACACATATTCATTAAATATAGGGAAGAAATGATTAGGAACATGATAACCTCTTTTCTACATGTTTTACATTGTAGTGGTGTTTTAAGTCTTTAGAATAGGAAAAGAGAAACTGACTACCCCTAATTGGAGATTTGTTTGCCTTTTTTCCTTAACAATAGGCAGGAAGTTTTCATCTCCTTGTGGATTTTTCTTTTTACCAAACAGTAGGTTTCCATTTCCTGCAAGGAAGATCATTTCTCCTCCCATACATTTGTGTTATCTTATCCTGTTGTACCGCAGAGAGCAAAGGGATGTGTGACACTTACTCTTAGCCTAGCCAACCAGTAGTCTATTTTGTACTTGTGCATGAAAACAAGGCTTCTTTGCTCATACACCAAGACTAGGCAACTTACTGCAGTCACTTCCATGTTCG